ATTACGGCTTTTGACACTTAACCAGCTACATGACCTTGGGGAACTTGTTCTTTCTGAGCCTTGCTTCTTTGGTGATAAAACAGATGAGTAACATTTATCCGACAGCATGGGTGTGGGGATTCGTGGGGACATGCATGTAAAGTTCCTGGCGTATGATAGGCGTTCCGTAAATGTTAGCTCCTTTCCCTGAGAAAGGGTCTCTTCTCTTCTTGTTTCTCATTTTTCTCTCATGGTCTACCCTTCCATCACTTTGCTGTTCAACCACAGTTCCTTAAGAAGACGGCTGCTGAAGGCGGGGTTGGCATTGTCTGTGGTGTTAACCAACCCGTGCTCTCTCGCCTCCTCCTTCCTCTTCTGGGATGTGTCTGTTGCTAAGGAGACACAACATCAGCCTTGACAGGATGTGGCTGGGGTTCTGGCCCACACTGAAGGAGAGAGACGTGGCTGACCCCCGGGAGGGCGAGGAGGGGAGGGACTTGGCTTGCCTTCTGGGCTGGCAGTCTGGGTGGGGTATAACTCTGGAATCTGCTGGAAAAACCCAGCTGGTTCCCTGAGGAAATGAAGCGTTTGTCTTCCTGTCTCCATGGGGCTCCGGAGAGATGACCAGCAGCCCTGTTGGGAGGCTGGAGTGGAGTTCTTGCGTGGGTCACAGTTCAGTGGTACTGGTCAGGGTGGGAGGCCCAGACCCTGGGAGGGGGCCATAGCAGCCAGAGTGACACATAATCAAACTCTTGGCCCTCAGAATGGCACCTCCCCAGAGCAGGGCTGGCAGCTGAGTAGATGCTTGAAGAGGCTGCGTGGGTGATTCGTAGCTCCGTGTTTGCTAAGGCCAGCCAAGCTGGCTGGTGAGAGGACTCAGCAGGGGCACTGCCACCATTCCTTGCAGCTGGAGTGTGACTCCGTGGTGACCGTCACAGACCCTGGGCTCTTCAAGGACTCCATTTCCTCCTTCCCCACCCATCCTCTGCCCCTAGGCAGCATGGAGAGATAATGCCTTTTCGTGTCACCAGCTAGCCACCCCCAATGGGAAGGAAGCTCTACGTTAAGAGCTCAAGCTGGGGGGTGGGCAGACTGCTCTGATCAAGTCCTTCCTCTGTTTGTCCCAGTTGTGTGAGCCGGACAAGCCACTTAGCTTCTCTGTAAAACTGGGATTGTTACAGCACTTTCCGTTTGGGATTATTGTGAGGATTATACAGGCTGATTCTTCTAAAGAGCTTAGATCTGGCCCAGACACCCCAAGCTCACTTAATGTGGCTATTCTTCTCATGTTAAGGGGTACGTTTCTGGGGAGAGGAGTGTTCTTGGGGAGAATTAAAATGGTATTATTACTAGTGTTACTGTTATGACTAGAGTGAGCCAGGGCTGCCCCAGATGGGGCACGGCTCCTCTGTTCGCACGATCCCTCGTAGGCCCATGCCATTCGGCCCATGCCTGGAGCTGTTTGCAATTTTTGTTACAAACTCAAGTCTGGTGTAGTATGATGTCAGGAGCCCGAGTGGGGCTAAGGGACAAAGGGAGGACTGAATTGTCTGTGCTTAGAAGGGGAAGGCGAGGGTGTGGGCACCTGCGGGCTTCAGAGGACGAGGAGTTGGAAGAAAGAGGGATGGTGATCTTGTACCTGGCTAGCGTGGGTGTGGCTTGGGGCCCACCCCTCTGGGGCCAGCTCAGCACAGACCAGCAAATGCACTGGACTGGGGGCACTTGGCTCAGAAAGCCTGGATTTCTGAGAAAGCTAGGGATTTCCCCTAGCCTGATGGGGAGGCCCTATTTTGGGGGGGCAGGTAATGCTGAGTTGGGTCAGTACCTGGTTGGCCTCCTGTATCTTTTAGCCTCATATTTCTTTCAATACAAGCATCTCGGGAGCAGGAGACTTGATCCCCTCATTGGACTGTGTCACCTTCCTTGTAGAAGGGACTCAGTGCTTGTCACACAGGAAGTTCTCAATGGATACTTGCCGAATGAGTATTTGAGTGAACGAATGCAAAGAGCTTGCTTGGGCAGCTCCGGTGGCGCAGCGGTTTAGCGCCGCCTGGAGCCTGGGGTGTGATCCTGGGGACCCGGGATCGAGTCCCATATCGGGCTCCCTGTGTGGAGCCTGCTTCTCCCTCTGCCTGTGTCTCTGCCTCTCTCTCAATCTGTGTGTCTCTCATGAATAAGTAAATAAAATATTAAAAAAAAAGAGCTTGCTTGCTGGTGTAGCAACCCAAGTATCTGGCTAGATTTTTCAAAAAGCCCCTATAAGTCCTATTCTCATCCCAGGCACTGGGCTCCTCCATTTGGCTGGAGGAAGACAGTGTGGGGACAGTAACTGTGTCATTTCTGCTTGCCATAGTATGCCCAGGGCCTAGCTTAGTACCTGGCACATAGTAGTTTGTGAATGGAGTGAATGAATCATATCCAAAATAAGTCTTCTTACCCTGGAGTTGGGACATTGCAGTTGTGTTCTTGACAGCTGGGGGAATTTGGAACTCCTCTTTGTAACTCATCTGGCCCCACCACCAAGTAGGGTAAAACGACATAAATATACCCTGTTATTAGAAACTCATTGTGCGAGGATTCATGGTTATTACTTTATGAGGTATCATCTGAAGTTTGCTGTCATCCTGAATTTCTGATGTCCCTGGCAGGCTGTCTCACTAGCTGTCCTGTCCCTTATTTCTCGTGCTGTCGTGTGTGGCCTGTCAATGGACACTGTTATCTTGTCATTTGCCATTACATTTGGAACCACTGCCTCTGTGGGTTTTGGGTTTTACTTATCTTACTATCTTAGATCTACTTGTTCATTTCTAAAAAGGCAGCAGCTTTCAGAATGACTAGGGAATAGTCTGAACAGTGACAGCACTGTCTGTTACCCCTGACAAGATGGAATGGTAGGAAAGGGCTCAAGCATTGGCTGGGGACCAGCTGGCTCCGTGACCTTGGGCAGATCACTTCATTTCTCTGAGCCTCTTCTCCAGACCCATCCAGACCTTTAATTCTATGTGAACACACAGAAGTGGGCTTCCCAGAAGTGGAGCAATTTTTAAGTTGTTATATGCTTTCCTGTGAAAATGTAGCTGTTTTTATTTTGAACCTTTTCATTTAAGCTCCTATTCTGAGTGTAAAGACAGTACTAGCTATGAGGAATTCTTATTTTGTGATTTATTGGGAGTATTATTATTATATTAGAGAACAGTATGTTTTTGTAAATATGTTTTTAAAATGCTTGCTGCATTCTTAAGTGTGATTTTATTATATCTTGGGGCAACTTTTTTTTCCCCATGAAGAACAGATCTGTGATTTATAACAAGCCTTCACTACCCAAGCTGGTTGTGAAAGTATTCTATGGTGTTACATCATTCCCAAAGGGTGCTCTTGGCTACAGAAGTTTCCAGGTTTCTAAGCATATTGCAGAGGAGACCAAGTTGTCAGATTCTTTCTAGAAATCAGGGTAACCTGAGACTAGCCATGTCTCAGTCCAGACTGAAGGGTCCTAGAAAGGAAAGGGCTTTATGGATATATCAGACTAAATCTCTTGCTCTTTAGGGAAACTGAGGCCCAGTGTAGAGAAGCGACTTTCTCCAGGTAAAAGGCCCAGAATATTCCCTCCACATCTGCCCCTTGCTCATCCTACATCTTTGCCTGGTCCAGTCCCCCAAATGTGAACATTGGTGCACTATCCAAACCACTGCCCATGCTCCGGGCAGACATCTTCCCTGTCTCATGATCTGCTTTCCAAGTAACACATGACGGAATGCTGCTAACTCAGCATTCCAGTCGGCATCTACTTGCCCCAGACACATTTTTGTTTTCACCAGCTAGGCACTAATATCCAGCAGAGAGTTTATTGGCATAGTTTCTCCAGAAAGAGGCTGGAAGACTTAGCAAATTCAAATTTTAACATTTTTATCAAGAGTCCCAAAGGGCCACCCTTTCCCCTCCCATCATAACCACCAATTCCAATAAGGCTTTCTCTACCACAGGAAGTCAGGGCGCACAGAGCAGAAACAGCACAGGCCAAACCAGCAGGCACATGATACATGAGTGAATCAACTGAGCAAGCAACCACCTGGGAGCCATCTTTGTTAAGGGTGAAACAGGGTGCTTGGGACCCTGGAGAATACAGAAAAGACAGGACGATCTTGATTCTTCTGAAGAAGTGAGGGAGGGTAGATGGGGTAAGAGGGGAGCCTTTCCTTTTTTGTTTTCCTCAGAAAACAGGCAAAGAAAGGCTTCACAAATAACTAAGATTACATAAATGTTATCTCCCAAACTTCCCTTTTCAAAGATGGCCACCCCTGCGGTCCATTCAGGGGGAGCACGCAGCAGAATCTACTGGGTGTGGAGAGAGAGACAGGCAGCGGGAGAGATTTAGTTTTCCACAAAGGTTGTTAGTTTTTTCTTTTTTTTTTCCTTTATTGTTGGGATTTAAAGTGCATATAACTGAAGGCAAAGTCCAAGGCCTAGAGAAAGATATGAGGCCCGAGAGAGAGGCTCAGAGATTCTAAAGGCAGCAGAAGGATACCCACCTAAAAAGGCCACTTGAGCTGCAAAAAGGATGGGAGAGAGAGAGAGAGAGAGAGAAATGGGAAAAAGAGAAAGGGGGTTGGGGTGGGATGGGGGTTGGGGGAAGCATTTGGGAGGAAGAAGACAAATACCAGTTCAGAAATTCAGACAAAGACGAGTAGTAGGAGCTAGTTTATATCCCTGGTAGGAGAAGATGGCCTGACTTTAAGGTAGGAACATCTGTTTTAGGACATGTGAAAGGGGAGAAATAAGAAAAACAGTTGCCTCTGGCCAGGGCGCAGCACCCCAGGGACCCTTCAGATGGTGCTAGTAGTGGTGGGCCTCCTCTAAACCTCTGTCATGGTCTTCCCTGGAGACCCAGTGGGGGTCTAAGGAGACTCCATCCAGGCCGGAGAGGTCAGGGGATGGGGACCTTGATATGGGGCCTCCCCAGAGCTCCCCAGTGGAAGACAGCTTCCTTGTTTCCTACTGGACTGTGGTGGGGCCTTACTCACCCACACAGGCTGTGCCGTCCTCGTTGGGCTCATAGCCCCGGCTGCACCTCTTGTTGGTCCGGCACCTATAGCTTCCATACGTGTTGACACACACAGGCTTGTCTCGAGGGCACACGAATGGGAACTGGATGCATTCGTTGGTGTCTAAAAGGTGAGGGGAGTCACTCACCGGGGAGGAGTGGGACAGTGGGTCCTTGCTCAGGCTCTGCTGTCCCACCTACTTTGTGATCTTGGGCATGTCCTTCTTTCTAGGTCTTAACTTCCTTGCTCCTCACTTCAGTCCCTTTGGCGGGCTCATCCTCTACTTGACTGCTACATGTTGGGGGTGTCAGACTTGGTCCTGGATCTTCTATCTACCACACTTTCTGTAGGTAGGCCCTTCACACATGGGGGATTCCAGATTCCTATCTCCAGCCCCAACCTGTCCCTGGAGCTCCAGACTTGTGAATCTAATGTGTATCTCACAGTCAGTAGGTCCAAAATGGAACTCTAGATCCCCCAGCCCTCAAACTTCTTCCACCCTGTGACCTTATCTTGCCTAAGTCAATCAACACCACTGTCACCCACTCAGCTGCTCAAGCACAGATAGGAGTGATCCCTAGTTCCTCTTCTTTCCTCTACAGGCAATTTCACAACAGATGCTGCTTTTCTGCCCCCATAGTACCCCTCTGTCCATCCAGGTCCTCCTCCTCTGCCACAGCCTAATCCTAGCCTGTACTACCTCTTGCCTGGATGTCTGCAGCTACCTCCAGACTGGCACCCTGGCTTCCACACTTCCCTCCAATCTAATCTGCAATTCAGCAGCCAGGGTGATCTTTTGAAAATGTGAATCACACCATGCCACTCTCCTACTTAACTGCAAAGGGCCCTAGGAACAGAGTCCGGACACCTTGAGACCCTCCCTGACTTAGCGCCTGGCTCTCGCACCATCTCCAGGCACACCAGCCTCCTTCCCATTCCCTTCACATGCTGAACCTTGTTCCTGCCTCATGCTCTTTGGACTTGCTCTTCCCTTGGCTCTTTCTGTGGCTGGGCTTTCTCGTTGTTCAGGTCTCAACTCAAAGGTCGTCTCCCTGACCACTCTGTCTAGAACAGTCTGCAGAGACACCTTGCTTCAAGGGTTCTTAGCCCATCTCATCCAGCTGTCAGGTCACATGTTTGTGGTTGCCCCCACTAGAGCAAATGCCACTCCAGGGCAGGTGCTTGGCCTGCATCCCCTGCACCCTGCACGAACACATAAACATCTGGTGGGTGATAAGAAGGAAGGGGTGGCCCTAAGGGTGACCTCACAGAGTCCTGCTGGTGCTCAGGCCAGATGCTGGAATTTCTGTGGACATGCACCATCTATTTAGAATGGTCACACGGAGAGTGGAGGGGACTCATTTCCTCCCAGGCCACCCTTAGAGCTGTACTCCTTAACTTTCTTACCTGTGGTCCTCTGCTCACGTGGCGCCCTCCACCTGAACACTTTCTCCCCTCTGCCTGTCTGGCAAACTCCCTGTCACCCACCAGGCCTCAGCTTAGACCTTGTGTTTTCCAGAGGCATTTTCTTAGGCCCTCCCCAGCTGGTGTAGGGCCCCACCTTTGCACTCCCACATAATACCACCGCCCCCCCCCCCCCCCGCCACGCCCTGCTCACTCTGTGAGGTCATCACTGTTTCCTTGCATGCCTCTCCCACTAGCTCTAAGCTCCCGGAAGCCAGGGAGTGTCTGTCTTGTTTACTCTTGAACCTCAGTAGCAAACCCACTGGCCTGGGACTCAGGAGCATCGGCAGAGTGGACTTGGGAAGAATGTTGCCTGAGCGTCTAAAGGCAGGAGGAGTTGTTGACCTGACCCCACACTGTTGGTCACTGACAGGGAAGGTATTGGGTTAAGGGTCTTTTAGATGCTAGGCCTCTTGGCTGTCGCTCTTCCACTCTAGGCCCTCGGAGGACTTCTAGAAGGGTCACTGGACCCTCACAGAGCTGTTGTCCTCTGACAGTTGAGCTACCTGCCCCCAGCACAGCACGAGGCTACAATCTCCCTTCTGCTGTGTGACCACACTCCACGGCGGGTTGCTCCCCTGCCCGCCCCCCATACCCATCCTTGTCTGCCAGCCCCTGGGCTTGCTGCTCCACCTGCTGGCCAAGCTGAAGCCACCAGCTCTCCATGGAAGATGCATGTGCACCATCGCCACTGTGGCCCCCAGGGGCCAGGCCTCCCAATGAGCACTGTCTTGGGTGTGTCTCCTCCCCACACCCATTCTCTCTGTATTCATGGCAGGAAGCACCCTCGTTCCCAGAACTGCGGTGACTAAGCCTGCTGGCCACTAACATCGCTCTCACCTTAGTGAGTCACATGGCACTCGTCTTGGCATCTGGAGCCCCAGGGACAAACAACACATTTCCCTCCCCACCTCTCCCCTCTCATCTGCAACCTGAGCTTTGCCAGGGCTTGGGCTGACATTCCCCAGGGAAATTCTGGCCTCTGCCCCATCCCCTGGGGCCCGCAGGCAACTCACCCATGCAATGGCCGTTTTCCTGCTGGGAGAATCCTTGGCCGCACTGCAAGGTGGGCAGAAACCGAGACGCCAGTGAGTTGAGAAGATCCCACCTCAGTTTCCCTCCTAATCACGGCCACAGAGCAGCCATCGCCCTGACCCCAGAATGAGGGGTGCTCTTAACTCTGGGCCTGGGGGCAGCCCCTTCCTCTAGGACCCCTCCCGCTTGCTCTGAGAATAGGAAACTTGGGGAAGGACGAGAACACACTCAGTTCCAACTCCTGCTCCTTCACTTCATGTGGGATCCGTAATGCCTAACAAAACCCGTCCCTCTTAAACTACAAAGCCCCACCTAAACTACAAGTAGAGGAATCGTTATGAAGCCTGCTCTTTGCTAAGACTTCCACCATTCTAGGGGCAAAGTCTGCAAATTCCTGGGAGTCCACCTTCAGCCCATGGGGCTGTGGGTGGGGCCTGCTTTTCTGGCTATGAGGCCCAGACACCCCACTCACCTCCAGTGGGGCTGGGTCCTGAAGCTGGTCTGCATCCTGGGGGTAGGGGATCTCCAGCACAGAGTTCATCTCCTCACTGGCCACACCCCGGCTTACCATCTTCCCATCTGGCCATGTCACCTCCACACTGCTGGCTTCATCCTTCCCTGTGGGACAGAAGACAGAACTGAATTTTAAAGTCTATTTAATTTTAATTAATTTACATTTCCATAGCCACACCTGGCTAGTGGCTACCATATTGGACAACACAACTCTAGAACTTATATTCCAGTGGACAGGCCAATCAGCATGAAGCTGTTTTAGGGAAGAAGGTAAAGCCTGGTGGTTAGCAGGTTGACTTTGAAGTCCCGGGTTCAAATCTTAGCTGTACCACTGGCCTGGTGTGTTGGAAAGCACATAGTGAGGGCCCGGCATCTTGGAGACTTGGGGCCAAATTCCAGCTCTGCTGCTACTTGCTACGTAATCTTGGGCATGTCACTGTATGTTTATATTTATATTATCACTTATAATATATATTTATATATTTATTTTATTTTTTTAATTTATTTTTTTATATTTATATTTATAATTATAGCTTGCTAGGGGCCATGCTTTCTTTTGCCATTGGGAATGTGCCTGCATTCAGGGGGCTTCCTGGTGGGATAGACAGGAACAGAGACATAACATCAGATATTAACAAGCTCTGTGAAGAAAACAAAAGTAGGCAAGTGGGTAAAGAGGAACTGGGGGCTGGCTGGGGGCTTTTTCTAGAGTGGGTGATCAGGGACAGGCTCCCGAGGATAAGGCACTTGAGCTGAGCTCTGAATAAAAGCTGAGGTGATAAAGAAGCGGATGGTGCAAGGCACAGGAGAAGCACCGTTCTGCAAAGCTGAGATGTTTATAAAAGCTAATGGCAAAGCTCAGAGAATATTCGTGGAGAATCCATCCACACATGTTGCTACAACAGTGGTAGAGAGCAGCTTGGAAAGATCTGTCAGGTGTTTAGGCGGTGTCAGCACTGGCCCCAGCCTCCTGCTTAAGGCATCAGGGCTGTCACTGCACCAAGGTCAGGCTAATGGTGATGAATTGGGGTGGGGGGGAGGGGGCTAGGCCTCACCTGTAGGCAGAAGCTCTTCTAGTGGGTCACCTGGGGAAGAGGGCAGTGCTCAGCCCAGGTAGGAGACAGGGTATAGCCCCCTCATTACCACCCACCAAGGATGACCAGATGTGGGCCTGGTGCTCAGGGGTCTGTAGATCCAATCATACCCTCAAGCATCATTCGTGGGCTAATAAACAATACATCACCCACATGTATGTGCTGTCTCCCCTCAATGTATGCAGATACTCTTAGAAAAACAAAGGAAACCAGAAAGGGCTGCTGAATTTATAGCAGCTTTGGGTCCTTGGTGTCACCAACGGATTTTACAAGGATCCCTATGGGGGCAGAGGGTAGTCTGTGACACATGTTCATGTATAAAAAAGATTCCTGTGTTTTAGAAAAGGGTTGGCAGCCACAGCGAGACTTTAAGGGGAATGCATGTGTAGACTCCTCTGTGTAGAGATTCACCCTGGGGGTGAGGGCTGGGATAGCGTGGTGTGGACGGGCCCTGCCCCACCTTCCTCCCTGAGTCCTAGCACACAGGACAAGCTGCCTGCTGTGAGCCATATCACCCAGCCTCTGGACCCTTCCAGCACTGGCTCCCCCCTTGCCTGGCTGCTGCTGTGCCATGTGTTAATGAGGGTAGGGACCAGCTGCCACCTATAGAAGTGTCAAAGGTGAGCATCCCCTGACTGTGGACAAAGGTGGGGCAGCGGCACCCAGGGGAGGCTCCCAGAGCAGACCCAGAAGCCAGAAAAAATTTCGCATAAACCTTTCTTCCCCTACTCCCTCCTCCTATAATAATTCCTTTTGGAGGAGGAGGGTGGATATGGGATGGGGGGGGTGGGGGGGTATCACCTGTAGATTTTTCCTCTGTTTTGAAATTGTCACTTGAAGTTAAAGAGACTTGGCGTTTTTTAGGTTGTATAGTGTCCAAAAGAAGTGGCATATATAAAAAGTAAACATTTTTCCACTAAAAGAAGGAGACAAAGAATAGCAAATGTTTCTCACCTAAGCCAAGAGAACAGCTACATGAATACATTTTCCAGCCTGACTGAAGTGCCACAAATAACTCAGAAGAGTCACCGAATATTCATAGACAATCACAAATTTACATTCCGTTTGTAGCATGCTGTTCTGAGTCTTGCTTCCTCCCTTTCTCCAAACCCAGGGAGGGGCCAGGCTATGAGATAAATAAGCCAAGGAGAACACATCTCAGCAGAGCTCCCTCCTCTGCTGCTGATTATTATGCTGAATCGGGCACCCTGTCTGGGGCCTTAGTTTCTTTATCTGTAAGATGGGCATTTGGCCTAGGGCTCTAGTACTCCTGGGGAGGATAGGCCTTCCTTGCAATGTGAGCCCTGCCCCGGCTGACAGTCCCCTTGGCGTCCCTATCTCCATCATCTCTTAGGCATGAGGGGCACCCTGTAGTTCCCAAAGTACCTTCATTTACTGGCAATAATGCTGGGGAATATGTACCCCAAACTGTACCAGGTGTCCTCAGTGTTAGCACTGGATCCTCTCGGCAGCACCACGGGGAGGGTACTAGATTTACAATCTCCATTTTAGAGATAAAAGGGCTCAGGCCTGGGGAGGTGATGTAAATGGCCCAGAGTTGCCCAGCTAGGGACATCTGACCCTAAAGCCCATTTCTGCTTTGCCTTTGTTTTACTGCTCACTTCACCTCCATGCCCAGCCCCACCACAGGCCAAGCATCATGCTGGGATCTGGGATTTAGCCAGAAGCAGATGAACCTGGGCCCCTCCTGTAGGAGCGGGCAATGAACATAGTGATTATGTTATAATAAACTGGGAACATGCAGCCATAGCATTGGGGCCACTTGGTGAGAGAGGCGGGTGTTAAAAGTCATTTTATTTGGGTGTTGCAGGAGGAGTAGGAGTTTGTGAGGCAGGGAAGGATCAGTCCAGGCAGATGGTTCGGCAAGGCAAAGAGGTATGGAAAGGTCATGTGCATTGGAAGCTCAGGGAGAGGTTCAAAGTGGGGGAAGCTGAGCATAAGAATATGTATTAGGAAAAAAAAAAAAAAGAATATGTATTAGGCAGGGGTTGGGGCTGCGGTGGGGGAAAAGGAGCCTGGGACGGACTTTGGCGCCTTCATGTGTGAGGCTGATCTGAATCCTCCTGACTACCCTGCGACGTGGGCGGTCTATCCCCACTCTCCAGGTGTAGACATTGGCAAGGGGAAGTGACTTGCAGGTGTCTGAGCTAGGACGGGAGCCCAGGCTCCTGTCCCCAGGCTGGGCTGTTCCCTCTCAAGTCCCCAGACGTCTCAGGCCTTTCCAGGCACTGCATGAGGGCTTAGAGTGCAGCGTTTATGAGCCGTCTGTCTGCCAGGCCTATGTGTCAGGCAGTGGGGCTGTGCACAGAGGGGGCCCCATTAGCCAGCACGGCTGAGAGGTCGAGAGCAGCAGAGTCACCCCCACCCCCTGCAGCTTTTAAAGGCCAAAGGCCAAAGAGGCACAGAGAATTGCGCTTTTCAGAAAATTACCAGCAAAACAGATGGTGGGAATACAGTTGGTGGAATATTTTTGCACTTTAATAAAGCAACTTTTATGTGGGCCACTGAATTTTCCTTCCCTAAATGAGCACCAGCAGGCTGGGAGGCAGCTGTGAGTCACTTGCAAACAATTAGCTTAAAGGAAGGTGGGGTGTCTGTGTTTGTACGCGTGTGTGTCAGGGATGCCATCAATGCTTGGGGTGGGCTGGCCAGTGGGTGAGCCCCCCCATGGGGGGCTGGCAGGGCAAAGTAGATTGTGGGTGCTTGTTTTCACTTTCTGGGTTTGGCTCAGCTGCCTCAGCCCTCTGTAATGCAGGAACTGGAGAGTTCAGGGTGTGGGATACGTAGGGTGGGTGCGTGGGGGCCAGGATGCAAGTTCAGAGCAACCAATGTGCTCCAGGGTGGAGAAATGCTTCTTTATGAGAGAGAGAAATGCTTGTTTATGAGCCCAGCTGGCCATCTGCTCCAGAAGGAGCAGGGAAAGGCCAGGGCAGGGTGCACAGGAGGGCTGCAACAAGGCCAGAGCAGGGGTAGGTAGGGGGGGTAGCTGACACTGCCCTAGGAGGGACATTTTTTTTTTTTAAAGATTTTATTTATTTACTCATGAGAGACACACAGAGAGAGAGAGAGGCAGAGACATAGGCAGAGGGAGAGGGAGAAGCAGGCTCCATGCAGGGAGCCTGATGTGGGACTCGATCCCAGGACTCCAGGACCATGCCCTGGGCTGAAGGCAGGTGCTAAACCGCTGAGCCACCCAGGGATCCCCTAGGAGGGACATTTCCTCGGGACGGAGCTGAGGGCACTCTGCATAGCACAGTGGACCCTCTGGGAATTCCAGAGAATGAAACAGCCATCCAGCGAGGTCGCTGAATTTTTATTGCGTGGTGCGATGCAGCCCAGACCCTTGGGAGTCAGGAGAACACAGGAGGGTCTGAGAAGCTAGTGCTCTGACCAAGGCTGAGTGCAGAGATGAGTGGGACATGTGCGTGCTGAGGAGGCAGCTGCTGGAGGGGTGCAGGTGCACACCCACGTACGGGTCCATGGAGAACACTCACCACACCCTGCTACAGAGTCCAGGGGACACAGGGATGATTCACAGAGGGAGGAGGGGAGCAGGGTCCGTTGGGGTGAGTGGGAGCACCATGAGTGCTGGAGGCGGGCTTTTTTGGGCCCTCTTCCCTCCAGAGACCTCTGGCTCCCAGCACGGCCACAGCCCCACATCTGTGGCTCAGGAATTCAGAACAACAAGGCAGGCCTTCCTTGCATTCGTGTTCTGCACATGTGCCTTCTCACCTCAAGCGCCACAAAACAAACCGCTCAGGACTGGAAACCATCGAACTGTCTGTCAATAGGAGACTTGCTCAATAAATGACAGTGCCGCCACACAATGAAATACCGTGTAGCAAGCACTGAAGGAAAGCAGAGGAGGGATGTGCGCACTTGCAACGATGTCTGGTTATATTGTTTTTTTTAAAAAGATTTATTTATTTATTCATTCAGAGAGAGCGAAGAGAGAAGCAGAGACACAGGCAGAGGGAGAAGCAGGCTCCC